CCTCGAGTTCGTCTATTAGCGATTGTTGGTCACAAGGCAGACCGGCAAGTTCATCTATAAGCGATCGGATTCCACTTAAATCAAGACGTGTATCAGCACGCTGGATTCGCGTTTTTACTCTGAAACAAGAGATTCATCGAAAAAGTAAAGCTTTCTACTAGCAATCAGATAACAAATTTCCATATTGTAAATACGGTTTAAGAAATATCCCCGATTTCTACCAAAACAAGGCGCCTGAGAATGACATCTTGAAAATGCTTTGAAATTTTGAGAAACAAATTCAGTATTACAGACCAATGTTTAATGCCACATTTGGGAAAAATCTGTTAAGATTCCGTACGAACCTAGTCCTAACTTTTCCGTTGAGAAGGGTACGAGCTTTTTCTGAAGCTGTGTTACACTTTTTCGATATGTCAAGTAGTCGCATAAGCGGGCTCGTCTGTGGAAATCGCTTGTGCCGAGCAACCTCGAGCAAACCTTCCACTGTACTCAGTGCTGTAAAGAATTTTTGCGATTTTTGACAACAGAGAAAATGCAAGGAATCTCTTATTAGGGTCGTTTTTCAAAAACTCACAAGGCTTCTTGGGATCATTGAGGGTCCGATCAACTTCTTCTTTCCAATCAAAGTAGAGTGTCGTTCGCTCTTCCAGTTTGTGAACAATGTCGCTAAGCTCATCATTCGTATAACGATATCTAAATGGAACTTGCGAAACAGCGAGAATTTAATTGAGTTATCTTCAATCTCTCACCTTAATACATATTCTGAGATCGGGCATTTGGAACACAGGTGATGACTATGTTCCAAACAAACTGTGTTTCCATGAGCACACGACAATCCGGAAAGAAACACCGTAGTGTTGCAGTACCTGCAATCAAGCGCTAAAATTACATATCACTTGCGTGGCAAAAGAATGGTCTTCCAAAAAGATGTAAATAATTTAATTTCTCAAAAATCACCGAGTCTTACCTGCATGTTCGAGCATCGTCAGCAATTACTTCAAAATTTTCTCTTCGAGACAATGATACGCCATTCTTAGTTATTCGAGCACGCTCCTGACTTTCTCGCTTCGATATCTAAGACAAGTAAGTAGATTGGAATGAATTTGAATTTATGTGTGAAAGATAAGTTTT